AATGACTTATTTTCGAAAAATAATATTTTCCAACTTTATAACTATGAAACTGCATAACTTGCAGTTTATAAACTCACAAAGAGATAATGTAAAATATATAGTGTTATATTTTGAAAATTGAGTGATAAAGGTAAATGAATATAGTTTTTCGCCAGAATGGCTGACTTGAGCTCTCCCATGTACCTGTGTTCCTTTAACCAGTTTAGTACTCTAGCCTCATAAAAATACGAATTTATTAACCAACTTTACTCTCAGTTAATAAAAATATCTAGATGGAACTTGAGATCTCTACAATAACATCAATAGACCATCATCTACCATAAAATCCAACATATAATCATTGAGGAATTTCTTGTGATCTTGGTATTGATGTTTTCTTGTTTCTCTATCAAAGATAGACCTGTGCATACTTTCCCTGTTTATATCTTAATAAAAAATGAAGACGATAAAGGTTTAAGGTTTAATCCCAAATTAAGTTGGTTGACTTCTATGAGGAAATCAAAAGTTTTGTATTATGGTAAGGAATCCAACAATCTCCTGCAAGAGTAATATTTAATCCAGTCAGAAATCTAATTAACCAGAAGAATTAAAAATTTATTAGCAAAGTCCATTACAAGGGAAATAAAGACATATATTTGAGATAGTCTGACTAACATCATTAAAGAAAAATCCATAGATTAAACATGTAGATACAAATGCTAGTTTATCATAATTTAATTAGTCCTAGAAGTTCAAGTACACAAAAGCAAAAGCCAGATTAAAACAGCTCTTACCAGCAGAGCCACTTAACAACTGATTGTTTCCTGCAATTATGCCAGAAGGAAGGAACCAGAAAGCAAATTTTGGCACAAAGTCACACATCTCAAAACCTGATTACTATGGTAAAGATAGTGGTTTTTGTAACAATACAACCATTTTTTCAAAGAGCACCCAAAAAGTTGGTTTAAATATTCTTACACAACGTATACTCAATCCTACATTATTTTTACTATATATATTAGAAATAACCAATCTTGTTAAATACATAATTCTCAAAGTCATTAGTGATAACTTCACACTCTTGCCAAGAGCTTCACTATGCATATGCTAACAGGAGGTGGTGGTTTTCACATGGTCACTTGGTATGATGAAGAATTAACCCAAATAATCGTTCATCTAAAATGATAAACTGAAAATAGCCGGTGAAAGTATAATATATGTATAATTTATGTATATATATAATTATGTATAATCAATATATAATCTATGTATATGGTTAAAAAACGTAAACAATTAATATGGTCGGCTATTTGTATAATGATCCCATGATAAAAAACTACTTATATTATCGACACCATGGCCGCAGAGAAAAATTCTATAATTTTGGCAATAAAACTATTGTGACACTGGTGATATATTCACCAGTCATGTAACCTATATCCTAAAACTGCAGTACTACCAATCAGACACGAATATAGCATTATAAGTACGGGTTCAATTGAACTCATAACTTTCAGAGCGGAACATAAAATTTATATGTAAAATTTATTAAAATTAATATAAATAGTAAATATGAACCCATAACTTTAAAATTATAATGGGTTCAATGTTAAAAATCTTAAAAATTGAACCCATAGGATCTAAATCCTAGATCCGCAACTGCTACCGATATCATCAGCACTACCAATATCATCTACTGAGGCATACCTGCTAATATATCTTTTCCTGTGGTTGACATGAAAAAGAATCAAAATGAAGGTCTCTCCAAGTGCAACTTTCACAAGATGCATTCCATGGCTCCCTCGGAGTCGATCAATTTATATATTAATGATTTGATTCCCCAGTTGGTTGAAAGAGAGAGTGCAGTGCTTTTCTCCTGGTTGCACATACCCACTGTCTTGGCATCTCAATGTCATCTCCAATAACAGTTGGCACATGCCAACAACCATGCTCGGACTCCTGAATAACAATTGAATAAGGTGGTGGCATATGGAGCTCAAGTCCGTCATCTCTTGAAGCTGTCATCCGGATCTGATGTTTTTCCTTCCATCTGGGGAAAAAGCTAGTGCCCAACAGTTGGAACAAGTGGTCTCTCATCTCATCATTTGTCAAAAGCAAACCTTTAGAACTGACAGCAGCGTATAACCAGTACCAATCATCATTTGAACCATGTGGAGTGGCATAAAGTGCACCCGCTTTTTTCCAGCTTTCTAACAACTTCTTGTTATTAGGATGTTGAGCAGGACCACCAGTTGCACGACTTTTGTGCAAAATAACTAGCGGAAGTTTGTTTGATTTACTCATCTGTCTTAATTTATTGACAACATTTCTGAGCTGAGAGAAATTAAAACTTCGTTGAGTAATAAGGCCAACATTTGCACCATCCACCACAGCATCGAATGGACCGTGCTTCTGAAGCCACTCCTGAAATTGCACAAAATTAGCCTTAACTTCTCTTTCACAAGCCAATTTTGCCAAGGAATTAGCAAAGTTCTCTGTCTCCTTGGGATCAATGTCAATGCACACAAGCTTTTCACCACACGAACTACAAACTCCAGAGCTATCCATCTCGGCTCTCACCACGGACCAATTTCCCTTTCCCAACCAGCCTTGTCCATGCGAACCACCCCCTCCTTTCACAACACCTTCCTTCACTTTCCCAACATCCCAATTCTCCACCCCAATCTCTGCAGCACATTCAGAGTTAAACCAATCCTCTATCACACCAGCAGTCTCTTCACACACCTGCCTTACATTTGCCCTTAATCTATGCATCGTCTCATATACTTTATCAGCCCTTTCGGACAAAGAACTAACTTTTAACAGTGCAGAAAGCTCTGCTTCCTCAGCCACAACCCCTGATTCCCCCATATGTACGTCAACTTCATAAGCCTTATCAGCCATTCCCTTATCACAAAACCCAAACAATGCTGGCCCATAAGATCTTAACTTCGGAGGAACACCAGAACTCTTCATTTTCTTCACTATATCAAAAGCCATTTCTGGGTCTTGCTTAGCAACCGCCAATCTAGCAGCACTAGTGAACGTGGCCTCATTAGGAGCAACACCATTTACACCCATCTGTTTGAAAATCTCAAATCCTTTTTCAATACCAAATTCCTTGGTACAAGAAGCAGAACAAAGATAAAGCAACACATTATAATGATGAACACTGAGTGAAATGTTGTTTAACTTAGCTTCTTCATAAAGGCGAAGGGCTTCCTGTAAGTCACCGTGTTTTGAACACTGGTCTAGCTTATGGCGCAGCACACTTTCAGGCGCGTCACGCCGGGCTTTCTTGGCGGACCTGCTATTGGAAAAGGTTTTACTTGTGGGTTGTTGGAGGAAAGCAGCGGAAGTGCAGAGATGGGTCTTTTGGTTCATGGAAAAGGGATATGTATGTGGGAATTTGGTATGAATTGGTTTGAAGAAGTGGATAGTATGGGGAAGATGAAATGGATAAGGGGTTTTCGTGAGAAGAGAGAAGAAGGGTGAGGTTTTAGAAAGACAAGGTGAAAAATGACCCATGCGACGAAAGACCATTGCTGGGGATATGAATGACACTTCGGACTACTGTCGTAATGGATTGGTCTCTTACATTGGTGGAAGCTTGAACGCCTGAGAAGAAGATGGTGAAAACAGTGTTAAACTATTAGCATTTCTAATTTAGAATACATCGAAAAAGACAAGAGAGGGTTGCTCAAGTAGTAAGCATCCTCCACCCCCAACCAAGGTAGTGGGTTCGATTCACCAAAGGAGCAGAGTGAGAAGCTCCTGGGAGGGATTAAAAGTTTTAAATATAAAGACATCAAAAACGAACTTTACTGACATCATTATTTGAAGAAAATAGAGGAAACAATTTGCATATTAGTCAAGTAATTGAGAAAAATAAGAACAAATATGTTAGTACTAATTTTCGACTCCAGTCCACAAGGATAGTGTGTATAGTTTAGTATATCTGAAAATAAAATCAATAAGCAACTATATGTCGTTAATAAAGTGTAGTAAGTGCTGGCTAGATGTTAGAATAATTTACAGTGACGCCGAAATGAAAACATAAACCAGGGTAATATGCAACAAGCATGAATATGAGCCATGTCCACAGTGGATCCCAAAAATATCATTTTCGATAAAGAAGCAGTTTGTTGAATTCCTAAAACTAAGAACCATACTCTGTAGATAAACCTGGAAAGGAAAGAAATGCATACAAACGTGTAATGTAATAAAATATCATTATATACAATATGCAATATTCCACTGAAATATCAACTTTTGTATCATTAAAATTAAAATGTATCAACTATCCACCTCATTAGGTTAAGCCTGCACGATAGTTTGAAAACTTTTAGAAGATTCAGTGTTTTTAAGGTAAATGTTGCCTTGGTTTTGAGGTCTCTTCTCAATGCAGAGAGGTAAATGAAACTAAATTGAAGGCCTACTACTTTGATTTTTATCATATCAGTAAAAGAACCCTTATAGGAAGTTAGGTTCAACTATCATAACCACAAAAATGGGAAAATAGACAAAGCACCAATTTATAACCCTTAACTCCAATTCATATGTATAATAACCAATAGAATCACATAATTCCCCAACCGAAAGAACAAAAAAGGAACAAGCCATGCGCAGAATGAAATAATGCGCAAAACAAAAGTAAAAAGTAAAGAGCAGAGAGATAATACTAACCTGAACACTGTAGGAAGAAGAGAAACGAACAACGAAAGGTAAATGGGGGACTCTGAGCTTAGAATATTGTAGATAGATGAAGAAAGTAAAGCGAATTTGAGAGAGAAGCGAAAATCCAGAAATGGATGAGGGGGCTGCTGTTCAATTCGAACGGGATGGTTTGAGCTATTTGCCCTATGGGCTATGGTATGTTAGGAGTATTAAAACATTGAAATGTCAAAAATACCCTTGATCAAACCTCTTTGGCGAATGAGAAGAATTTGTGGTTCAAAAGCAAGATTTTGCTATTGGCCAGTTTTTTTTTTCCTTTAAATTGGGTCAGTGTAAATTCAATGCCATTGTTTGGATAGGATAACACAATTGTACAGAGCTCAAGATTTTGAAGACCCCACTGATCACGCTCACTATCCTCTCTCCTTCACTACTCTTTCCAACCATTCTTCTTCCCCTACAATATTGCACAGCAACAGAATCTTGTGGAATAGCAAGAAAGAAGGAATGGTCTCTTTTTCTTCAACACTTCCATCTTTGGTTTCACTGATTCCTTCACCATCTTCCATTGCCAATGCCTCCAGATACCCTCCTCAAGCTGTAAAAGCCACCTCCTTTTTTCTTAGTTCTTTCTCTTCTCTTCTGTAACATGCTATACTTATATGCATCTTTTCCTTGAAATGTTAATTGGGTTTTAACAATCTTTACTTACATGTCATCCATGATCACTTCCATTTGTTATTGCCACTTACATAATAAAGAATGTAACTTTCAGCTTATTTTTATTAGTAGAATTCATGGGTTGGGCAGAATTTGTACCAAGTGAATTTAGTTTTTCTCCAGAATGGCATTGGCTTTATACTGGATGTTCTTGATTTTCTTTTTTTTATGAAAATCTCAGGGTATGATTTGTTGCAAGTTTGGACCAGAGCTTAACAATGAGGATCGTTGCTTTCGTAGACGTGATGTTCTTCACTCCTTTGGAGCAGCAGTAGGGATGGTGAGTTCATTGTTTCAGTTTAAGCAGGATTGCTGAGTTGGGAGAATTTAATGAGTTAAACTTCAACAATGTAGTATAGTCCCAATCATCCAATATGCATCTTGAGCACTTACATTGTGTCTAATATTTTCACATTAACTGTTAATAGAAGAAATGAATTAACTTCAACAATGTTGAGTAGCTAAGAACTCATTCATTTTAGTAAAAAAGCATTTTTCTTTCAGTAAAAGGAAAATATTTATACACAGATAACTCTCAAAGTAAACAAGTAAGCTAGATGGAAAATTGAACAAAGAGGGATAAAGTCAATGCGGACCACGTATTCAAATGCATATGCACTAATAAATTTTACTACAAATTTACATTGTGGACTGATATCTCAGCTAACCAAATAAGAGTGTTGAGATGATGATTACTTTCAGCTGTAATTTTTGTTAGGACTTGATAGCAAGATCCAGCTCGTTCGTTGAAGTAGCTAATGCTGCTGATCTGATACAACGCAGACAGCGTTCAGAGTTTCAATGTAAGTCTTCATTTTCTTCTCAAAAGCAAACTTGGCATGCTTCATTTTACTGAACTGGAATTCCTTTTTCTTTGATTTACAGCAAAGATCAAGGGAATTCTTTATGAAGCTATAAAGGTGAATTCTCAATAAGTGGTGTTAATTACTCAAGTCTCAAGTAGTCAAGTTGAACATGCAAATTATGAAAGTTCTCTTTACCAACTTCTTTTCTTTTGGTTTGTTGCAGGGAAATCCAGATATCGTTCCATCCATACTAACGTTAGCACTTAATGATATCATGACTTATGATAAGGTCAGACCATTATCTCCTGTACTTTGAGTGACTAAAGTAATAGACTTGTGTAATTGAGAAAAATTTTGCAGGCAACAAAATCTGGGGGTCCCAATGGATCAATACGTTTCAGGTACTTTTTTTCGTCGACCTATTGCTTTGGATAAAGCATTACACTCCCACGAAATCAAGTGAAAAATATCATATTGTATCTCTTTTTGTTTAAGTTAAAACCAGATAAAAGACACTGGTCATGTTTTCTTCAGTCCAAAGATACTTGAATTCTTAGTTAGATCTCAGGACTGCTATTATCATAGACTCAAAGTGGATGGAAATGCTAAGATATATGAACTGTGTTCGTTAGCTCGGGTGAATATCTGGCATCAAATTTCCTACTATAGGATGAAATCTCACTTTTTATTGAAAGTTAATTCATCATTGAGATATTGTTACCTTGACTTTTATACATCTTTCTTGTACCTTATTCCTTGTGTGAAGCTCAGAGATCAGCAGACCAGAAAATAAGGGGCTTGCTGCTGCTATGAATTTGTTGGAGGAATCAAAAAAGGAGATAGATTCAGATTCCAAAGGTGGACCCATCTCATATGCAGATCTCATCCAGTTAGCTGGTAAGGAATTTTAGATGCTAGTTTGTTATGAGTTTGATAGCAGAGGCGGAGTCAGGATTTTAACTTTATGGCTTCTAGATCTTACGATGTTGTTTTATTTCTATGGTTTCTGTTGCTGGTACTGATATAGTGTCTCTTTTCGTCTTCTTGAGTCGAGCGTCTATCGGAAACAACCTCTCTACTCCCTCGGGGTAGGGGTAAGGTCTGGTACATACTACCCTCCCCACTTGTGGGATTTTACTGGGTAGTTGTTGTTGTTGTTGTTGTTGGATTCTGGATTTTAAAACGACCGCTAAAACACCTATAACTGGGTTCTAAATTTTATATTTGTACACATTTAATGAATTTCTTAGCATAGATACACTATTTGAGCAAAAGTTAATTGGTTCAGCCGAACTCGTATTCGAGCTTCTAGCTCGGTCAAAATTTAAAAATTTATTGTAACAGTCAAAGGCTAACTCAGTCGTCCAAGATAAACTGTACGCTACATTACAAAAACTACAGAAGGAAACACTATGAATATCATAAGCCTAAGACAGTTAACTTCAGAAAAATATTTTGAATGTTATAAGCTTCTCAGTTAACTTTAACACCTTATTATGGTTCAAATTTCCTCATTCAGTTTTCTTTGCTTGATGCAGCACAAAGTGCAGTCAAATCAACCTTTCTCGCTTCTGCAATTCGCAAATGTGGTGGTAATGTAGAGAAGGGATCTTTGTTATACAGTGCATACGGTTCTAACGGACAGGTTATTTTTCTTATGATGACATCAAGTTTACTGATTAGCGGACAAGCATATACCCCTGAATTCCAAATTTTCATGTCATGAGAAGCACGGATTTCTTTTCTGTTTATGGTTTTATTGTCCTAAAGTTTCCATTTTGAGAAGATAAAACAAGATAAACGGGGGAAAATGGGAAAAGAAAAAGGCAAGAGAGAGAGAGAAAAGGAGACCTTGAACACAAGTAGAGGAGAGGTTAACAAAAGACTGATCAGCTAATTTATCTTTCTTTCCCCATCTGAATATTGTGTGGTACACTTCAGCCAGTTTTTTCTGTTATCTATAGTTACAATTAAATGTGGGGACGTGGACTCCACCTTGGCATTTTATTTGTTGGGTCCAGTGCCACTGTGGAAAGCATGTTAGGAATAGGGGCGAATTTGTTTACAATGCTAACGGTAGGGATAAATTTAGACGAAAAGTATAACGAAGGATAAATGTAAACTGTTTTCAATAGTAAGGGTAAATCTTGCCCTTTTCCCTTAAATGTGACCTCTATCCCGTGATTTGTGAACGTCACTTGGAAAACGACTCTGACTCTGAGCAGATAAATGAAGAGAAATGCTAATCATTTAGTACTTGTATGGTTATTCGATTAAGCAGTTGCTTCAGATTATTTATCCAAGAAAAAAAAAGAAGCTTTTGCTTCAGATTGTTCATTTGTTTGTGTAATATTTCCCTCTACACACAGTGGGGCCTATTTGATAGGCAATTTGGGAGGTCAGATGCACAGGAGCCTGATCCAGAGGGAAGGGTGCCTCAGTGGGATAAAGCAAGTGTGCAAGAAATGAAAGACAAGTTCAAAGCTGTTGGCTTTGGCCCTCGTCAGGTAAAAATATACATGTAGTTATTTGGGACAGTAACATCTTTTGGTTCGTCCACAATATGCTTGCTCATAGTGAACGAATGAGCACAAACAACTAACTATAATTTTCAATTTCTGCACAGCTAGCAGTAATGTCTGCATTCATAGGTCCTGATCAAGATGCAACAGAGGCCCTACTCGCCAACGACCCAGAAGTTCTTCCGTGGGTTCAGAAGTACCAAAGGAGCAGGGAAACAGTTTCTCGAACTGATTATGAGGCTAGTATATGCTCTCCTAGTAATTGTCTAAAGGACCTCTATAATAACTAAGGAAAATCACATTGGTAATTGAAAATAAGAGACTTTCTATATTTGTTAAACTTCAAAAAGTCGTATTAGAGCTATTATCTACCTGAAATATTTGAACAAAGAAGTGCTAGTGAGACCTCTTCTCTATCTCCCTTTCCGTTTGTTTTCTATGTCAACCTGTAGTTGTAAAATGTTAAATTATTTGCCTAACGCTAAAACTAACAGTGGATATGTCTAATTTCAGGTAGACTTGATTACTACTCTCACAAAATTAAGCTGCTTGGGACAACAAATAAACTATGAGGCATATAGTTATCCTGTCCAGAAAATTGATGTTACCAAACTCAAGTTGTAGAAAGGTGGCAGCTGAGGTTTTTGCACTATGAATGCACTGAGCACAACGCAGAAACATATGCTTACAGGTCTACACATTTTAACTGAGAGGTTTAGGAGGCAGATTTTTTTCCGTGCGAGGGGATAGAAACTGTTTACTTAGAATTGTATTTGCAATCAGATTTTCCCAATCACTGTAACATAAACAGGTGTGTTTCATCTGTACTTCTGTACAACTCTTCACGTTTTGTGTTTCAAGATCTTTCATGCTTCAACAAACTACATATTTGGTTACAAGGGCAATCCTATGTTGTGTTGGTCAACTTCTTTTTGGTTTTTTTCAATGCCTTTGCCCTGCACCACCTCAAAAAAATAAGAGGTCCCTTCTCAATTACCTTTAAATTGATACTTCGCACTGCCATAACACCACAATCCTCAACCCAGACTCAACACACGAGACGCAAGCATAAAATCACACCGCCCTAAGGCTCATAAGCCGCTGAATACTCTCTTAAATATCCCCAAAAGTACCACAAGCACGCGCTCACACAATCAACACCTCAGTGCTCAAGCTATAGTCAAACCCTGGCCTCGAGTCCTCCAGACTGGCCCAACATCAACACACAGAAACCACATCTCGCACCTCATCCAGGGAATCACAAGCCGTCGATGCACAACTGATACCGAGCGCCCATGTGCGCATACGAATGCGTGGAAGGAATTCAAGGAGTTATGTTTCAAGTTTAATCAATTCCGCACGATAGAATACAAGAAAGGGAAATTTTTCTAAGGGTTCTGCAGCCTCTTGAAGATAAGTACAGAAGTCTCCGTACCGATCCGCAAGACTATACTAAACCCGCTCATGACTCGTGAGACCTATGTAACCTAGAGCTCTGATACCAACTTGTTACGACCCAAAATCTAACCATGGTCATGATGGCGCCTATCGTGTTACAAGGCAAGCCTATTTCCCAAAATATTACTACTAAACCGATTATAAGAATTTAATAAAATATTTCAACATTTAAATTTTTCATAAACTAAATCAAATCTAAATATAATATAGAAAAATACGGAAACGAGCCCCAAACATCGGGGTGTCACTAAGTCATGAGCATCTAAAACTATGAACTAAGATATATAAGCTGTCTAACTGTCCAAAAGAAGAAATGACAAAAGGAGTAACAAGGTCCTATGGACGCTAGCAGCTACCTTGCAATCTCCACAGACAGTCGGCCTGAACTCAACGTTGCAACTACCTAACAAATCAATAAACTCACTTTACTGATAAAGCAGTATGAAGCAACTATCCTACGTCCAGGACTTTGGTGAAAACTACAAAAACTTAAGTTTTTTGGTGAAAATTTTTCTTCCACTCACAAAACTTCAAAACCTTTTTCAAATAAAATGCATGTCCAAACACAATTATAATTTCCAAAAATCATTTTTATCTATATTCAAACACTCTTTTTCCATGTTTCAATTAAATCTATAACCAAACGCTAGCTAATTAGTAGAAAATGTAGAGGGACGCCTCCATTATCTTCCAAGTTTCGAAGCTGAAAACAACTAATCTCTCGGTTATTTTAGAAAAGATTATGAATCATCTATCCCTCAGAAAGCAGTTGCGGGAGATTGGATTGATGTGTGTGTCCAACTTACGATCAATATTTACTTCCACGGCAAGGTATGACCTTTCTCATCTATAGTTTCAGTCGACAGTAGATTATTTACCGACACTAATCTGATTACTGCAGTTCCGTAATTAGACATCACGATCTAAAGCAACAGTACAACCGAGCTTCACCATAATTTTTAGGTTTCGATTACTATCTACAAGGTACAACGTAGATAGTTGCACATAGTAGAGTCAACAAACTCAAAAGAAGCAGCAAATATGCCATTTACAATGATAACGAATAATCAACTTTTATATCAACTTTGCTCATCTTAAACGTCTGTCCAATGTGCTGCCGAACTGAACACTTGAAAACTTTCTAAAACGATGACAGGGAAAAATAATTATGATGCAGACAACAGTATCTAATTTCAAATTCGCTTCCTGTTTTAGTTCTGTATATGTTTTGGTTTAATAATGTGAAGCCCACCCATGAAAGGCCTCAATGGCTCTGGTATAATAACTGAGCCATCTTCTTGCTGGAAATTCTCAAGCAAGCACACTATCATTCGCGGAACTGCACATGCTGTAGCATTTAATGTGTGAACGAACTGTGTTGGAGCTGAGTTTTTACCCTTTTTAGGACTTGATGACGCTGATGGTTCAGGGCGATACCTAATTCCCAGCCGGCGGCTTTGATAATCTGTACAATTTGATGCACTTGATATCTGTTAAATAAAGAACATAACAGATTAGAATATTGTTAGAAGAATATTGTTAGAATCAAGTTAAGGCAAGAGCAGTGATTCATTTGTTCTAGTTTCGTTCGACCCTTCAGCTCTTTCAAACAATTATATACTTTGAGGGTGTTTGACTAAGCTTATAAGCTGGTCAAACTAGCTTATAAACACATTTTGGCTTATCTGGGCATTTGGTAAATATCCAAAGTGCTTATAAGCTAAAATCAGTCATAAGTTGGTCACCCCCAGCTTATGGCTTTTTAGCTTATAAGCAGTTTTAATTTGACCAAAACTTTTACTAGTTTATCCTTAATAATATTTTTTAATTCACAAAATATTTTTCCCAAAATAAATTTTCTAACTTTCCCTTCATTCCATATTCGTTGTTCATCTTTTTCTTTACAAAGAAACTTTTTAATTTATAATCTTTTGTAAAGTTTTTAAGGATATTTTTATCATTTTAACAAAATAACAGTTTATCAGCACTTTTCTACCAAACACATCAATTACTTATTATTAGTTTCAGCACATGTATCCAAACACGTAAATGCTTATTTAAAAAATCAGTTTCAGCACTTCAAGCTTATCAGCTATCTAAAATCAGTTTATCCAAAATACCCAAGGTTTGTAGAAACAATGGTCAGTGTCCGGTTTTCAGTTCCATGTGAAAAAAATAGTAATAGACTTGGTGTCATTGCTTACCTCACCATAACGGCCCAACCCTGGCATCCATGCCTCCACATCAAACTTACGATAAGCTGGTGCACCTAGATCCTGGGTTGCCATGTCCAATGTCCTGCACATAGTATGATTTGGTTTTCAAAACAAATGGAGAAGAAAGGCAAGTGTATATTGGGTGCACAAACAAAAAGTCATCTAAACATGCATAATTGTTAGTGGATTTGGAATAATGATTCGCACTTGAAATGAAATCCTAGTGACGAGAAGAGGTCTTCTTCGATCTCAATGAGTTCTTCATGGTATGAATCACTCTCATCTGGTCGGCACAGTATGAACATTTCCACCTTGCTGAACTGGTGAACTCGATAAAGTCCCCTGCCACCAAAATATTTTGGATTAATTACTCAATGCAATGTAAGAAATATATGCATGAATGTGCCTGCACATATTATAATATTTTCAAAAGATCAGCAATCTTTTATGGGCAATCAGTGATGAAACTAGGAGCTAGAGGCACAAACGGCCACAAAACCCAAACACTTAAATAAAAAATGCATTTTAAGTGGGCTCATGCAAAAGTTTAATATATTTTTATTTTTTTATCAGTGATATAGTCTAAAATATTATCTAGAATAGCCATCATATATTAGTTGCTGAACAACAGAAGATTAAAAAGAATAAGAGAGAAAAATAAAAGAATGAAAGAAGTCCAGAGTGACTGACCTTGTTGCAGCGCCTGCAGCACCAGCCTCAGTCCGAAAGCAGTGTGAGAAAGCCACATATTTCAATGGCAATGAAGACTCGGAAAGAATGGAATCCATGTGTATTCCACCTACTGGAATCTCAGCGGTTCCAATCAGGCACTGGTCACTATTTTCAATGGAGTAAACCTGCCAGTGGTGTGGTAAAAATATCGCTGATCAGCCTAAACCAATTTAGCTGAGACAGATAGCCCCCTCCCCTTCCGACAAAACAAAAAAAGTGGGGAAAATAACCGGAAAACCTAGGGAAAACAACGATAAACATAATCAAGAAGGAACAAGAAAAGCTAAAACATGCATACTTTATATGCAGATGTATTAATTGAATTCAAAGCTAGCTCAAGTTAAGGCAAGAGCAGTGATTTATATTCATCAATACAACAAAAATGATTCACCTAAAGAGCTAGCTTTGAATTCAATTAATACATCTGCATATCAAATTAAACCCAGAGTATGGGGGAAAAGAAGTCTCTATATTCGAAAACAATATTTTCTTTAAGGTCATTGAACTCTTCAGTTTTAGTAAGAAACCAAGATTGCATTGGTATTCCTAGACTTGGCATGACATTGTTGACAGCTCTTCTAAAATAAGTTGATACTGTTGTCAGTTTAGTCATTAAATAGAACCTAGACAGTATGAGTAATCTCAGAGGCACGGTGTGGTAATAAGAATCGACATTACCAGAATCGACACTACCATCAAAAATCAGTTCAGAAGAAATACTGGAAGATAGGATAGTTATATGGCTCACTATGGTTATGTCTGATTCTCAAACACAGTGATAACACCTATCCCTCCGACAAAATGGCAAAGTTAACAAACAGAACTAAGGAAGATAAAAATGATATATCAAGGATCATAATCAAAGTCAACAAAATAGCATCAGTAAAGAAAGACAAACCTGAGTGTTTGCTCCACGGGGTTGAAATCCACATTTTTCCACCACAGATGACCGAACGATCTCTGGGGTAGTCAGAGGTGTAAAGCCTCGTTTCATGGCTTCTGAAACTGCCCAGTTTACAAGAGCCATCTCTAGAATAACTGCTTCATTCTTCAAGTAATAGAATTTGGACCCACTGACCTGAAAAACATATATTTAACTGATCCATGAATGCACACTAAACTAACCTCTCCATCTCCTGAAAGTAAGAACTGATAGCAGGCCAATTTTCCTCTTCAGAGACACACACAATCATGTGCCTTCGATCTCTGAAAGTGAGTAATCTAACAATAAAGGAAGTAGAGGAAGTCTATATGTACAAACAGCAAACAGAATCTACTACCAGTTTAGTATAGACTGCTTTAAGGCCAACAGTTGTGACACAAGGTGGGAAACTAATACACCCTCTGTCCCATAACGTGACGGAGTTTGATCCTACACGGAGTTCAAGAAAAAAAGGAAGCCTTTTGATAAATGAACTAAAAATGTGCACAGTATCGCCCCCAAGGCCTAGCTCAAGTGGCAAAGGGTGGTGGATTTGTGTCTTAGGTCACAGGTTCAAGCC